GGGGAGGAAAAGGTCCCCCTCGGCAATCGCCTGGCTGCGGCTCCTTCACGTACCCCGCAGCATCCTCCCCCATGCCTACGCGGTTCTCCCCCAAAATCTTTTATTAAAAATAAAATAGTGACGCCGGTGCCCGTGGGCTGTGGCACTGTATGGTTGGAGAAGTAGCCCGTGCGAATGGTCTTGCGCCAAGATCTGTATCAAGGGTAAATACTAATTGTATAACGTCATAGTCACTTCTCTAAAATGAAGGGGGTTACCGAATTTCTTCCCAGTAGGGAAGAAATTGTTGCCAAAATAGTATCTGTAGAAAGGATTAAAAGTTAAATCCCAGGAAATTACGGCGCTCTTTCAGTCATTTCCCTACCTTTTAGTTAAAACGCGCGAAGAACGTACTACAAAAACATGTAAGAAAGAGCCAATTTTGTATCATTTTATTCCCGAAGAAAGGCTATCATTTATTTAAAAGTCGGGTTAGTGGTGGTACTCCTTCGGCTCTTAGACGAACGCGGAGAAGACCTTATAAGGAAAACGACGGCTGCTGTAATTTATTTCCCTGATCAATTTGGAAGAAAATAATTCCCCCCCCCCCCCCCCGACTTCCATCAAACTAGTGTTTCAGGCTTCGCCTCCCTGCGTGGCAGGGACCGCTGCGCTCCCTCGCAGCACAAGGAAAAGGAGTTTTGAGGCGCGCTCGATGCCCGATAGATTTGGTGTTAATTGTATTCGGTGGTTCTCTAATGAAATGTACCACTCAAGGAAACAAGGAAATCAGTTTGCTTTTCACACAAAACATCGAATACGTTTTAGGTAAACTGCTTAATTAAATTTAATTTGCAGTGAGGAAGGAATTGCAGATCCGGCAACGCAATTTGGTGGAAAAGGATCTGATTCCCAGGACGGAAACTTAGCACTCAAGCGGGAGACGGAGATTGTGTATCTATGCACATCGAGGGGCATCAAAGGATACCTTCGCCAGTGAGGGGAGGAAAGTACTTAATTATTAAACTTTTAAACAAATGTGTGGTGTGTATCCAGTCGTGAGCCAATGTAAACACTCAGCCTGATAAATGCTTCTAGCAACAGAGACGTGTAAAATGGGTTTGCCTCAATTTTGTAATGCCGCTTCTTCTGTTTGTTTTGAAGCAAAAGGTTACGAGCGGTGCTCTGGAAAAGCTGTGAGTAAACTGTGACCTCTAACTCTCCGTATCCTTGCTTTAAGTAAACCAGAGGAAATGAAGAGCCCTGGTATTGTCTGAAAGTATCCTCCTGTAGCTAAATATACCACCTCACTTCTATTGTCCAGTGGCTAATCATTTTACGTAAATACAGCTGTTTTAATCTACTCTTCAGCATCCTATTGCTGCACACTATATGTCTATAAAAAACCTGCCTTAGCAAAATCATTTTCCAGTAAGAGCACGCAGAATAACGGGAACTTCCCCCCC